ATACGAAGTAATTACGATTTGTGCAAGTATTCCGATTCCTACTTTTAATTCTTGAGATATGTTATAAGAATATGTTCTAGAAAATCATAATAGATTTATTTGAGAATTAAACGTTTCACTTTGCAGTTTGAAAGGCCAGTTTGCGATATATGTATATATGTTTCGAATATATGTATCTTCAACAGAACTTTGTGATTCTAAATAGGAACTATAGGTTAAGTGATGTCAAAAGAGGTCGATGCTGTTCAAGGTAGATGTAAAAAAAAAAAATAATTGAGATTGAAAAATAGAAAAATTTCCATTCGGAATAATATATGTAACACGAGGCTCTTTCGTGATATTTTTTTATAATGATTACTGCGATGTTTGTTTCTTTATTCTACTAGGAAAGAATTACGTAAAACTGACGTATAGTGAAATTCTAGTGAGATATAATAGCGTGTAATGAATTCGTTTAGCGTCTGGAGTGTCGATGTATTTAGATTGTATGTTAAATACGCGCGATTTGTCCTAGGCATATAGAGTACTTTCTCTTCAACGTAGATACTAAAGGCCAATCTGAGAAGGATGCTGGTTGTTTCATGGTCGTAGCATCGATATATTAACATATACCAGTTTTTTGCGTACTTCCTTTCGATCGGCTGAATAGCATAATGTTAATAAAAAATGTCGAGGCCGCGATGATTCTTGAATTATAAATAATTACAAATCCAAGAGTTTTTCATAAATTAAGCGTCAAGAGCATAAGCAGCAATGAAATATCTTCATAAAGCTCGGATATGTCATTAAACTTTAATATCAACAAGTCCGAAAGAGATATTATAATGTATCCTTTTCGTAATATCTGTATAACGGTATTTAAGATTTATCCATTTATACGCATGTTTACTCACGGGCATTGCGCATTATCACCGAGAATGACGTTGAAATGACACGTTGACACGCGGCGCGTCGCGTTACACGCTAGTCTTCCATAATTACAACTCGCGGCACCATTAATTTTTGTAATCCCCGTTTTCCCCTTACCTCGCCGCGTAGGAGAACAGAGCGCATCCCCCCAAATTCAACGCGGAATAATCTCGCCGCATTGAAACAAAGCCGCACTTCCTCGTCGCTCGCGGCGTCTCTCTCTCTCTCTCTCTCTCTTGCGTTCCAGCTAATCGCTCTAAAATCATATTTTTCCGCACGCGAAATCACGCGCCTTCGCTTCTGCGTCGCGGAAAAGTGCATCTCGCCGGGGCACGGTGAAAGCACGAACTCCCCCCTATCCCCTTGCCCCCTAGATCATGAGCGGCCAGAGGAACGCGCGAATGCGCGCTCCCGGGGGGGGGCCCTCTCACTTTCGCTCTCCGGAGAAAGTCCGGCCGCCCCGTCGTCGTCGTCGTCATCGTCATCGTCGTTGTCGTGATCCCCTGTTTTCCCGTTTCCCCCTCCTCGTCCTCCCCATGCTCCGTAGGACCCCCCCTCGCGCTTCTAGTTCCGTAAAAAGACTTTGCTTACCATCGCGCTCGCCTTGACGCGACCAGAAGTACGGTGCACGCCACTTTGTTGCGGCCCCCCCCCCGCCCGTTCCTCTCAATCTCTCCTCGTCCCGCACCCGCGCCCACGACGGTTGTGCACTTCTTCTGGCGGTGTACTCTCGCGATCCGACGAGGGGTTAATGCACTCCTAGAGCAAACCATAACCTTAGCCGGAGCCCTCGGAGAGGCGCGGGAATCTCGCTACCGACGACAGACAGGCCCCACAATACCGCGGCATGTTCTCGGGATCACATTGTACATTTATAATCGAATCGGCGCTAGCTTTCATTTTATTTGACCCGATCTTTTAACACGATTTAACAATTTCTTGCTAAACAACTATCTTTTATAACGTAACAGATTCTCCTTTTTGTAAAAAAAAAAAAAAAAAAAAAAATACACAGTTAATAAAGAAAGTTATGATAGCTCACGTGCAAACGTTGTTCCCAGAAAGATAATTTACCACTTCCTAATTCCTTTACAATTACAAAATTTCGGAGGACTTGAGAAAGTTTTACGTGTTTACCATTCCTTAACGCGGTCAAATTTAAAAACCCTCGCCTCGGCGTCCGAATTTTATGGAATCCTAGAGTCGCGTTGATGATCTCTCTCGCCTCTTGAGATCTCGAGGAGATCTACGTGCGGAGAATTTCGGCGAAAAGTAAATGGCCGCTCGATTACAACGCGAGAGAACGAGCGCGCGTATCAAGGGAAAGTATCTCACAGACGATTATCATACGACCGCCGCGATCGGACTCCGAATGCGCCCTCCTCCTCCTCCTCCTCTCCCTCCTCTCGGCGGAAAGCAAAACGCAGGCTTTTATAAAACGGCGTCGTTAAGAGAGATGCGAGCGAGATACGCGATTAAGATTCGTGGACCTTGACGCGCATTGTCCGTGCGCGATAATTGGCCGCGGTTTCGTATGCGTGCTCCTTCGACAGACAGAATAGTTTATCGTCTCTCGTACTTCTTTTCCTCTATCGAACTGACTAGCATTCTCTCTCTTTCTCTGCTCCCTCTCTCTTGCACTAACAGAGATAGATTCCACAGTGGTAGAACATCGGTCCAGGGCCGACGAGCGAGCGCCTTGAAGGCGTAATGACGATCATAGAAACTCTCGAGGCCGGCCCACGAGACCCAGAGTTTCGCGAAAGCGAGATAGAAGATTCGCAGAAAGACATACGAGAAGAATCATCAGATCATTAGACTACTAAATGAATTCACGAAAATACACCGCTTATTATAATTGGGAAAATGTTCATTTTCGCGAGTAAAAAAACTTCGGTCAGTTAAATAGTATCGAAATCTCTTATAATAATTAAAACATCTTGATCTTTATTTGGAATCCAAGTTTAATAACGAAAATTAATAACTTGTGATAAATGAGAGAAAGTTTTTGCCGGGAAAAGGTCAACTTCGATTTGCGAGTCCGCATGGCAAAGAAAAGACATCTTATATACGTATATATTAGCATCGCATCGAGTAGTAATATAAATATATGGGCTATAATTTAGATTGCTATATTTAGAATTAAATATATTTATATCGAAGTTATAATGTCTTCATTTTTGCATCTTCCTTGAAATTATCCCTGACAAGTCCACACATAAAATATATATCTTTACATAAGATATCTTCAAGATATTTTTTAAATGTCTACCGAAAAATATCTTTAAAATGTTTTATGTTCCAATTTTAGACTTCGTGCCGTTTGAGATATTATCTCTGCT